AATTTGTTATACTCTGGTTGATAAAAAGATCTTTTTGTTAGGGAGGTAGGTCCTCAGGGATCCCTAGCCTCTCCTCACTAATTCTTGTGTATTCTTTTCCCCCAGTTTTTCCCTTGGTCAACAAAGATAAGTTTTATCAGGAGAGAGGAGTGTTTTTCCTTGTTGTTGAGTATATAATGTCTGGTTCCATGCTCTGAATAAATCGTTATTTAATTAGACCAGTATTCTCCAAATTAGTGTGGAGTGTGTGTACCCTATAGTGTACAAGACAATCCTTTGAAGTACAGGAAGAAATTATCTATAAATTGGTAATGCATTTCTAACCCTAAAACTGGTGTTTTGAATCAAATGTATAGTTTTCATGAGATATTATTGTTGGACCACTCCTAAGCCTTATAGTTAAGACCCTTTTAACATGACAAAACACCCCAGTGTTCTGTTTTCTTTATCCTATGACTCTAACCTAGGGTTCACCATTTTTAAAAATTTCATGTCCCTATTAATAAAGTGTTTGCGCCTGTGGGCCCAAATACATTTAGAAATTAAATGATTGCTAATTCCTGAGTGTATGTATATATATGTGTGTGTGTGTGTGTGTGTGTGTGTGTGTGTGCATGTGTGTGTGTGTACCATATATAATATCAAGAAATTAGACCAAAAAATAAAATAGGAGGTTAAATAAATTGAGATCTTAAGTTCCAACAGTTTTTAGACAGCTGTTCAATATTTTTAAACTTGTATTGTTGGTTGTAGTATTAAAGTTGTCTGGTTAAAGTTTCTTTTGCTTTTTATGTTTTGCCTTGCAATATTTTTTTCTTCCCTTCTTCATTCCCAGCCTAAATGGGAATAATAATAAAAATGAACATTTATTCAGTCAGTATTTACTAATGCTAGGTTATGGGGATGAAATGGTAAGTAAAACTCAAGACATGAAAGCTGAATTCACAGTGCTTATTTTCTGGTGGTGGAGATAAACCATCACTCATATCGCAAAAATGTTGACTGAGATAAGTGGTACGAAGTGGTGTGTTTGTGTAAAGGGAGTATTTGGACCATTCAGGGAGGTCAGTGAAAACTTTGTGGGCATGGGACCAGCTACATAAATTTTAGTGCCCAGTGCAAGATGAAAATTTGAGACCTCTTGTTCAAAAAATTACTAAGACTTCCTAGGCTGAAAGTAGAACACTTTACAAGCATGGGACCCTTTTAAGTGTTGGTTCTGTGAACTGTGCAGGTTACGTATCCATGAACCTGGTTCTACCTGAAGAAGTAATGTTTGAGCTGAGATGTGATGAAACAAGAAGATTGCTCTAGGCAAAGAAAATAAGATAAATGAGTCTCAGGGCAGGAAGGATTGTGGTGTATTCAGAAATTGGATGAAGGCCAGCGTGGCTGGAGTGCAGGGAGTGGAGGGTTGTGGAGGGTTGAGGAGGGTGTGAGTGAGATGAAGTAGAAAGGGTGATGTGTAAAGCCAAGTAGAACTTGATAGATAGTGTCAAAGATTTTGGCCTTTATTTCAAGAACCACATATAATTACCAGTGTGTCTTAAGCATAAAGTTTACTTGTGGTGTGCTAATAATACTAGTAACTTGATTCTTGATAGTATTGGAAAACTTGCTCCCCCAACTGCCATTTCTTTATTTTCTTTTTAAAATATTTTTTTCAGTTGTAGATGGGCACAGTACCTTTATTTTATTTGTTTATTTTTTTATGTGGTGCCCGGGATTGAACCCAGTGCCTCATGCTCTACTGCTGAGCCACAGCCCAGCCCACTTCTACTTCTTACCAACCTCTTTTTCAGAAATTTTCAGCCTGATCTTCTGTGATTATTCTAAGCCTGTGCCTTCCCTAAGGCATGTTTGAAACAGCATTTCACATCAGGGAGTTCTTTTGGTAGTAGAAGTTGAAAATGGATAGGGTAGGTGAATCATGAAATTTTATTTACTATTAAAGTAGTTTTTAGTCTAAAACATTCTAGGTCAACTGAAGAAAAATTAATAAAAGATGAAAATGTTTTTTAATTATTTGAAAACAACTTTTCTTTTCAAAAATACTACAGATATTTTAAATATCTGTTGTCAGAACCATGATTAAAAAGTTTAAATTTCCCTTTTATACATGCTCAGGAGCCAAGGGGTGGGGATATTTACTTGCTTTACCTTGGGAAAGAGAGGAGGGGAAAGAAGTTGTCGTTTTCGACTTCATTTTTTGTTAATAGGTGCTCACAATAAAAGGCTTTAATTAGTATTATCCATACCAAGAGTAGGCTTTGTGTTTTGTGTGGATAAAATGTTTATGATTCATACTTCTGAAGACAGTTATAGAGTTTATTTTCTAGAATGACACCTTCATAAGGTGATTTGTAGATCCATTGCCAGGCCACCCAACTAGGGATTTTCACTTTTGGCACTCTTACAAAATAACATACTAGTGATTTCTTTTCCCATATCATGCTTTAAATGTAATTATTTAAGCTTGTACACATAGACAGTGCTCTAAAATCAGTGATATTGTATATTCTGAGAGCTTAATGGGTGAGATGGGCAGCTGGCCATTTTGTTCTTTAACATTTATTATCTATGATCCATGATACTCTAGAATTCCTAACTAGTAAAATAGCATGGTTATATAGATTTGTGTCAGTCTACTTGCCTTCTCTCTTTAAATGATAGTTTCCATTTATAAATAAAACACCAAATTTTTTGGTAGAGTTGCTTTCTAAAAATTTATTTTCAGTTATTTATGGGTGAAAACATGTTTATATCTTGGATCAAGCAAAACGTTTACCCCCTTTATCCTATTTTCCAGCTTTAGGTTCTTAGGAAGTAGCTTTTGGTATTTGTAGGCAGCTTCTTTAGTTTTATTTGCATTCATGTTGCAAAATTTATATTACTTTGATATATGTTGTTGGATTAGATTTGAAGAATTCATGGAGGTAGTGATGAAATTTTTTTTGTTGTTGTTCATATGAGAGCTTCTGTTACAAAATAGTGGGGTAGCTTCTTATTTATCATATCTAAGATGCTAAGTGTATCTTATTCCATTGTTTTGAAAATATTTATCCTTCTCTGTATATACACAAAATAGCTAAACAAAAATTAAAATTACCAGAGTATACAAAGTATATAAAGTTGACCCTATTAACAGAGATGATAAAATTAAACTGGGTAAAACTTTGAATAGCCAAAATGTTTAGGGAATGAAATGATAGCTACAGTCAAATATTCCTTTTCTTTCTTTTCACACACAATTAATGAATACCAACTGTATGCAAAGCAGGTACACTGTGCCTTACGCAGATACATAAGACACATGTATTGCCTCCAGGAACTTAGTTTTAATATTTATTCTTTGAAATTTTTATAAATTTCTATGCTTTATTGATTTAATGAGATTAATATAATGCATATAATTGAATCTTTGATGATTTAGGAACCTATAAAGAATTAACATCATTGTTTTGTTTCTAGTAGAGATGTAAATGGTAGAGGTATGCTGACCATACAATTTATCCTAAAAGGTTACTTTTGAGTAATTCGCTGATATCAGCTTGTTTTTGTTTCCGTGACTTTTATTTTAAAAACTGTGCTATACAGGTTAATTGGGTTCTTATTGAAATTTTACTTTGTTAAAATGTTTACAGTAAAATTAATATTTAGTTTCACTGCTTTTGGTTTGTATATTGAAGTCCAGTAACTTGTAATATTGTAGGTAACAGCATACAGAACTATGTATGGTCCACTTTTGCTTGACGATTTCACGGTATTATCGTTAAGTATGAACTTAATTTTGTATAGCTCAAATCAAGCCAAAAGTTAGATTTTTAGTATTTACTAATACTACTGTTTTTCTTTTTATTCTTAAACATAATAAAAGCAAATTAAAGGATTTCTGTTCTGTGCTTCCTCTTTAGTGAACAATAAAAAATGCTTTATATGTACAAATTTCTTTTAAAAAGCCATAATTATATATGAAAAATTATTTGTTGCTATGTCACAGATTGGATTAATATAAATACAATAAAAAGATACCTATTATTATCAAGTTGCATATATTTAATTTACTTTCTTGCTGAGGGCAAATGTAGTTACTGTATTAGAATCCGTGATTAAAAAAGAAAAAAGAATCAATGGTTTTGTTGTTTTGTGTTTTTTACAAAGAAGACTTCAACAATGATGTTCTTGTATAATAATCTTGTATATTCTGTCAGTGGAGTCATTGCTTCTTAAGTGCAGTTGATGAGACAAAATTCAAATCTAGTGCTTTTCCCCAGTACTGGTAGGTTACTGATATTTTCTTTGTAGCTGGAATCTTGGAATCTTCTCTAAATGAGAGACTAAGGGTCAAGGTCAGGCTTTACTTCAGGCCTAAAATTAGCTTTATTGGCTTTATTTCACATTGTAGGTGCTTCCTGCTTCACCACACAACTCTCCTTTAATTGTTTTTGTGGGATAGTGGTGGCAGAGTCAAAGCAATGAAATGTTCTAGATATAATAGGGTTCCTTTGTATTTTTAAATCTACCAGCTTAAAGGAAGAGATAGACAACCTGATACAGATATATTTGATTCATATAGTGTTGCTTGAAAATTCACTTTGTAAATTATCATAAATATTGTTTCACTATCTTTTTTTATAGTGAGTCAGACATCAATATCTTTTTATATGTTTGAGCAACATTTTGGGTGTAAATGTTTAAAGGAAGGTAAAGGAATTTATTTTTCAGATTCATTTTTGATTGGGCATGGTGTCTGCCTGTTTCTCCCCATAAAAAACAAAAACAAACTATCACCAAATAATAAGTAAGCATGCATTTAAAAGGATCTTGCCTACTTAGACAGGTACTATAGAATCTAAGATATATGATTAGGTGCCATATTATAAGGTAGTCTTAGTAATTGACTTTAATGCTGTAGGCCAATGAAAATACTTACTAATTTGGTAGATGATTGATATTTTGTTTGCCCTATGTGTCTAATTATCATTGCTTTGTTTCTTCAGCTACAGAACCTTGGCCAGAAAATGCTACATTATATCAGCAACTGAAAGGTAGGTTCTTAATCACAATTGAGTGATTTTTGTATCCAAATTTATTACAAAAAACAATCCTCACTAATGTAATTCAATACAAAGAGAACATGAAACGTAAAGGAGGGATTCTCTTGTATAATTTGTCTAGGAGGTTTTACCTAAACTTGTATCTGCCTGTGTAAACCAACTATTCATGGCCTATAAGGTCCTTGGTTTATTATTGACTCATTATATTGGCTGCTGTAGGCAATGTAAAATGATGTGGTTGCAGGAGCAGTTGGCAGATTTACTGCATCAATAGCTGAGACAGCAGTTTTTTGAAGTCCTGTGGTAAAGTGGGCTCTCAGTAAAAAGGAACTGTTAAAATGTATAGGCTAGGATGGTTCAGGCTCCCTTTAGCAGCTCTTCATATATCATCAGATCACATTATGGACCCCATTTGGGGCTCAGCAGCCTGCTACAGTTGTCAGAAGACTGCAAAGTAATGAAGACTAATAGGCAGCAGCCCTAGTCTTCTAAGCATGGAATTTTTATTGCAGCGAACTTGTCATCTTTCTTTTGTGTGACAGACCTAGACACACTGTGCAATATTAACTGCAAGCTGGTTTTATATGATTGCGAATGCTTTTACTTTTAACTAGAAAGATTTGAATAGATACTATTTTACTTAATTTTAATGAAAAGAAGGGGGATATTTCTTGAATACTTAGAAATGAATTTATTCTTAAAGGAGCTATTTTAATTACATATTGCTGATAAAATGAGATAAGTGATCATATAGTTTCAGAGGAAATAGTCCTATTTTTTTATTTATATAGTATAACAGTCAAAATTTTGATTACACAACATTGATATAGAATTTCATGTTCACTTCAATGTAGACTATACCTTTTCTTTTTAAAATAGGAATAGTTCTTAAAAATAAGAATATTATAAGTATTCTTTGCTTGTTTAGCAGTTAATTTTCAATGAGGTCTTTCCTTGTATTTCCACAGGGGAGCAAATTTTGCTTTCTGACAATGCAGCTTCTCTTGCTGTGCAGGTAAATATGTAAATAATATGTATTTTTAACCCTCTAAATGATTTGTGTAATTTGGAGTTGCAATTATTTTTTTCCCCTCAAGAAAATCTAATATTAAATACTTAAAATTTTTCTGTGTGATTTACTCTTATCAGTATATCATTGCTTCCCTGTGAAGTGTCATTTTACTATATAATATTAATCAGTTAATTGTTGTTCAGATATAAAATAAAAATCTTCATTACTTGTTCTTTTACACAAAGTCATTGTTAAGTGTTAGTCACATTCTGTGTCTTAAGCAGTTGTTTTGCTTTGGATTAGATACGATTGTATTGATTATTTGGGGATAGAATTTTATTTTGGAACAGAATTATTTTCTAATTTATTTGTAAAGATTTATTTACTACATATTTTTAAGCATCATTCTGCTCTTTGTACTCATTTTAGCCTTAATCTGTTTGGTAATCTTAAAATAGACATGTTCCTTTGTAGCTGCTCCATATGTATTTATTGATTACATGTGTGTTTATTATCCCCAAACCACTTATTGAATTCAGTAGCTCTTCAGGTTGTATAATCACAGTTTTGTAATCCAAAAAAGATTAGTGGCTCTGTAAACTTTGAACTATAGGAAGATTAAAATACTTGGGGGATTATTTACTTAATAAAAAGAATTATCTGTGTAGATTATAGAATTATAGTTGTAAAAACATTTTACACATTTAGCTTTTATCTACTTAGTTTATATAGTTTGAATAACAAAGAGGATTTTATTGTGTAACACCTAAAAGATAACTCAAAGGGAAATCTTAAGAGGTGACGTTTATTGGAAGTGAGACTGAGCCTCCTTGAGCACAGAAAGAAAGGGTAGGAAAGTAACTTTCAAAGCTTTTCTTGTGTTCTAGACATAATGCTAAACACTGATTTTTAGGTTATCTCTTTTATATTTTTTATTCAACTTCATATCCTTTAGGCTTAATAACAGTGTCATTCAGTATGACATTATAACAGTATGGCATTCAGTACATCTTTGTTTTAAGGCAGGGAAGGAAGGGAAAGATGGAGAGAAATGTGGCTGGACAGTATTAGTATAATTATCTTTTAACTTTCTTTTTGATTTGTTTTATATATATATATATATTTTTTTTACCAGGAATATGCATTGTCTTTTGTTACTAATATTATAGCTAGTTTTTATGTTAACTTTTTAAAAAAAAATTGTAGTTGTAGATGGAAAGAGGTGCTAAGGATCGAACCCAGTGCCTCATGCATGCTAGGCAAATGCTCTGCCACTGAGCTACAGCCCCATCCCTTATGTTAACTTTTGATTTTGATAAAAATCTTTTCCCCTGTGACTATTGCCCTTAGTTTTGCTTTCCTTCCCTCATCTACAGAATTACAGATGTTATAGTGCTGCTTATTTTTTTTTTTTTAGTGCTGCTTATTACCCCCACCCTTTTTTTGTTGTTGTGAGAGATGGAATTTCAAGTTGAACTCTCATGTGCAATAACAGTTGCCTATCATATAGAATGTACTCAGTGAATGTTTGTTGTGTGAATGGTTTCTAAGTGTGGTGAAAGCAGTCTTGCTTAATAAGTGACAGCACAAATAATTATTTGATGTGTATAAAATAGTATTTTCAATGTTTATGTTTTTGAAAAGCTTTTGGGAAGTGAATATTTTAGTTGAAACACTGATTCTTAACCCTTTATCAGTTGCCATTTTGAGGATAACTCTTTCAGGATTTAACAAAAGTTATAGAACATTTTCCCAGAAAACACCCCACTGCACACATAGAAATAAAAATATACCCAGGCTATTCTGCATGTGGTTTCACAGGTTTATGATCTCCCTCCTCAAGCTATCTGGGAATCTGTATGAAGAGCCCTAAAACTAATAGTAATTTAGGAAGAACTAAAGTAATTTTTACCCAAAGGAAGGCATTGTAGGTAGGAATAGACTAATCATGTTTCTCAACTGGGGAGCTTTTTAACCCCCACAAAAGGTTGCTGCTAACCGTCCTACGGTGCACAACCCCGAATGTAAATAGTGTCAAGGTTGAAGAGCCCTAGAATAGATATTTTAACCAGTTTCTAGTACAAAGCAAGATATAAGTATATTATCACTTTTAAAAATTAACATTTTAGGGGCTGGGGTTGTGGCTCAGCAGTAGAATGCTTGCCTTGTATGTGTGCAGTACTGGGTTTGATCCTTAGCACTAAATAAATAAATAAATAAATTGTGCTATGTACAATTAAACTTTTTTTAAATTAACATTTTAATATTCTAGGGAAGGGGAGGAAAAAAGACATCTAGTATGTACTTCATCAATTGTATTTTTGTAGTTCTTATTAATTTGTTTTATTATAGTTTCTCTAATTGTTGCAATTAAAAATAAAACAGAAAAAGGATCTTTTAAAATGCAGAATTTTGCTTAACCATTTCTTTTTTTTATCCTACATATGTCACTTAGATGATAAATTAACCAGCATATATTAAAATTCTTAGTTTTCTTCAATATTCTTTGGCTTGACAGCTGATAGTAGCCATGACTATAAATGTGACTTTTCCACATATCTGATGTAAACTTTATAGAGCAATTTTCTTCTATATAGTGGATCAGCATCCGTTTAGAAGAATCATTTAAAGGCTTCTTGCTTGATGTATAAAGCTGATAAACACAATATGACAGGTATCCATAAACTGAATATTTTCTATAAGATACCAAATATCAAACAGATATTTTAATAGTCTGCAAGTTAAGCCAGGGAATTTAAATTTTATTTCCCTCCTAGACTTGGTATTTATTATATCCCTGAAGCTAAATGCTTAGCTTTTTTTTAGTTAAAGGAACTTTTATGTTTTCAGTTTAAAAGAAAAAAAAAAATCTTTTCCCCTATGACTATTGCCCTTAGTTTTGCTTTCCTTCCCTCATCTACAAAGTATTGATTTTATCTGAAATGTTATTTGGTCATGTCACCTTGTATACTGAATATAGTGAAGTATTATATAGTATGTTCCTATGGCTTCTGTGAGCTATGTGCATGTTTGTATGTATGTGTAATACTGCATACATGCACATACAAGAAAAAAAGAACAAGAAGTTTTCTGTTCTATAATAATTTGACTTTGAAGCTTATATTGATTGGGAAAATAACTTTGATAATAATTTTCCATTACTCCGTCTCTTAACAGAAGATTTTAAAAATATTTAAAGTATCCCTATTTAAAAAAAATAAAAGAAACAGGTGAAGTTAATTTTAATAATGTATTTTATTTAACCCATTTCATCAAAATAATATTTTATCATGTAATCAATACAGTGTTTATATTTTACATTTTTTCATATAAAGTTCAAAATCTGATGTTATTTTATGCTATGGCACATGTGCATCCTTAGGCACATTGCAAGTGCTTAGTAGCCTTATGTAGCCGATGACTCTTGTATTAAAGAGTGCAGGTGTAAAGAGCAAATACAGGTGAACTTTGTAAGTTTTCTACAAAAAAGGCTTTTTAAGAACTTTTGAAGTCTGTATTTGCTTTTATAGCAGATTCCACAAATGGAATGTAGGCAATTAGTTTCTTTTCCAAATACAGCTGACCGTAAATAGGACTGTTTATTTCAAGTTTCCTAATCTGTAAAATGGAGATATAGTAGATGCTGTCCCATTGGGTTATGAGGATTGAATACGTAATGTGTAAAACACTTGGAAAAATGCTTGGTGTATTGTAAATACAAAAGAATGTAGGTCATTATTTCCTTTTCTCCTGATTCTTCGACAGAAAAACACATAATGAATTTCAGCAAGAGGAATAGAACTTGTGGGCTTGACAATTCCTAAAAAAACACTAAAGTAATTGAGAGTAAATGTCATATATAAGATTTCTAGGGGACATATTTGTATTTGTATGAGCATTAAAATTTTTGTAATCATTCTTTTATGCCATACCTTAACGATGTTAATATTGAATGCTTTAATTCAAATAGCATGTTATTTTAATAATATTGAATAAGGTTTGGTTTTAAAATTTAATATTTACTAAATGCTTTTATTGTAAAATGCTCTCTATGGAGATCATTTATATAGAGTATTGCATCTAATCCTTACCAACATCCTACTGTAGAGTTGCATTCTTAATCTCATTTTAAAGATGTGGAAACTAAAACTCAGAGGTGCTCTGCCTAAGGCCATAGGAGTCCACAAATTGTGGAGGTAAACAGAAAATAACAGCATTGGTGAATGCTACATGTACTTATTACTGTGTTGAGCACCTAAAGTTCTTGTTAATTTATTTAATCCTTACAACAACTGTATGAAGTAGGGTGGTATATAGTATAAGTATCATGGATAATCCTCTCTTATAGCAATCTTAGGATTTAGGTATTTTTATTATTCCAATTTCCCCACACATTAGGAAAGTAAGGTGGAGAGGTGAAATGATTTGCCCAAAGTTATATGGGCTGTACTTGGCAGAACTGAAATGCAAAGCTAGGGAGTCTGAGTTGACAGCCCACACACACAACACTTTGATGCATATTAGACTAGTCCAGTGGTGAAGATCTTTGGATTTTTACCCAATAATAAGTGAACATTTAATCACATTATTTTTGACATTTCCCAACAAATGTGTCTTAAATTTTATAGTTTTTATTAAAATATGAAAGATAACTTGTCTTAGCTTTTATATTTTTGAAATGAGATAAAGGTAGTCTTAACTATATTATGTTATTATGAAGCTCAAGTTGGGTAATAAAGGAGAAATTCTGTAGAAAGAAGTGAAAGCTATAGCAATGTAAGATGTGAATTAGTACCTACCTATTTTGACTAAAGATTTATGTACTTATTTTGTGAACATCGTTAATAAAATGTTACTTTCTAGTAAATTTGAAAAAGAATATCATGTAGTGTATAGGAAGCCAATTAAAACCTTTTTCTTTTTGATTGGCTGATCCAAATATTATAAAAATTTCAATGTATTTTTTAGACAATGTCTTAAACTGATGATCATTATAAGAATGC